TGCAACAGCAGCAACAACAACTGCAACAGCAGCAGCAACAACTGCAACAGCAGCAACAACAACTGCAACAGCAGCAGCAACAACAACAGCAGCAGCAACAACAACAACAACCATACAACCAACGAAGAGGTGTTTTTCTCGAAGGTTCACATTCAACACCAAAAAAAAACAATGTATTTCTATCCCCTGTCCCATCACAGACTTCATTTAACCCGAAGACAATTTGTTCCGTACCACTTTCAAACAATTCACCTGTACAACTACAAATCCTGCAAATGCAATGGACACAGCAGCAGCAACAACTTCAACAACGATACAGCAATGTATCCATGCTCTCGAACAATCAATCAGATGCTCCAGGCAGCATTTGTCGTAATGATGACCCTATTGCCCAAACCAATGAACAAAGCTGTCCTATTTCCTCTGCAAACAAGGACAGCGATCCATTTCGCATATCTAGCAATGACCATCCAAGCCAACAAAACTCAGCACCGATCACTGAGGCACCCAAACTGAATGCAAAGAATAGTAGCCTTCAACCGGAAACAGCGATACGTCCGATGTTTCCAGCATTGGAAAGCAAAACATCTCAATCTCGAGGTTTCCAATCTATTGAACAGCAAAAGAAAAAGGTAGAAAAACAAAACATGTCCCAGATCGAGATGCTGAGGGAAGCATACATTAGTAGCGTTTCTCCAAAAGCATCTTGTACCTCGAAGAACGTTAATATTGCTGATAGAACGATGATCACAGCTACGCCTGGATTGAAATCTAATTCGAGAGGCAATTCGGGTATGAAACATCAACTCGTATCTCCCCTCCCTATGCAAGTACCTACTAGCGAGCCTAAGGTCGTTACAACGCCGATAGACGTGTCAGTGGAAAGCTCTGCTCTACAATTTTGCAAGCCGAGAGAAAAGGGTGTCGTCAATAACATCCAGTCCTCTTCTGAAGCCGTAACTCTGGACAGTGTCACCTCGAATCAGATGATGATGGATTGCAAAATGTCGCATACACACATACCAAATTTCTTAGCTGGATTTGACAAGGTCGCAAACCCGAAGAAGATGAATCACACCAACCCAATTGTCACGAATAATCAGCTCCCTGAGCTTTCACCTGCTTATTATACGAGTAAATCCTTCGATGATTTTCATCGGTTTCTGGGGAAAGGTCTGCCACCCGGAGTTTCGACATCTATCAAATTCCCTGATTTGGAACCGTTGAATGTGACGAAACAAGGGCCCCTTGTTTCGTCGAATCATTCTGCTGATGAAGTGTTAAAGTCCAGCTTGCAGTTCAAACCGCGAACCCCGCTCAACTTGCCTTCTGCTGCGAACAACACGGACGGGACAAGCTCGGGAACTTCTGAGAGAAGATGCTACGGTATGCCTTTGGCCGCTGATTTCAAGGAAGTGACCGGTATGTTTCCAGACAAGAAGCCACCAAAGCTTCCGCAGACAGAAGGCGTCCGCAACGACGTTAATAGCTCTAGTAGGCACAGCATGAGAGCAGATCACTCTCCGAATAATGTTGTACTTGACCATCAGGAACACCTGTCCCGCTCGAGTTTCCCCCAAGAGCTTCAGCCACAACCACAAGGCAAGGCCGAAGACAACCCAAGCGATTTTCGAATCGAGGACATTATGCTGGAAGAGATTGGTGCCATCGGAGGGTCTGATCCCGATGCAACTCCGTATCCACACACCATGTTTGGCGATGGTTCAGGGATTGTGTTAGACAGCGGTGCCCCGGCATCGGACGGTCGTCCTTGCAGCAGCGACGCCTACTCGGTGAGCGGGGGAGGGATTGTATCGGACGAGTCGATTGGTGCGTTGTCCGAGGGTTCGTCTCGGATTCAGAAACGAAAGCGAGATGTTCTTCCGGAAAACGATTTGGTGTACGTCACGAGAAAGGAACGAAACTGCATCTATGGGCTGTAATCGTTCATCTCGAGTGCCCTGTATTGCAATTTCCGCTGGGAGGGAGAGAGTGCACGAAATGGAAAAGCAGGGTACTTTACATGTTGTTTAAATGTCACACTATATGCTTGCATAATCATACTGTAATTTTTCTCCTTGTTTAAACGATAGATACATTACATAGTTGCTTAGTCTATCGCAACAAAACATGCTGCATCTGGTGCCGAACGAGACTCGAATCAATAGGCCTCGGGACGTTGGGACGCCATTTCTGTCAACTGATCGTTCGCTACATCAAGTTACGTTACGTCTTCGATCCACTCGCGGTCCCGCCGGGATCTCTGGTGCCTCGTTGCACATACCGAGACCATTGTGCATCGACGTAAAAGCGCAGGTTTTCGTTCGCCCGGACATTGTCCGTATAAAGTCGATCGAGACCGTAAATTCCGGCCTTCACGTGGGTCTTGCTGTAGTGTTCTTTAGTAGTTTCTTGGTTCGCCCGATCATCGGCACCGGGTAGGTCGGTAGCCGCCACAACCAAGTTCTTTTCGATGAACGTGAATCGGTGTGAGCCCATATCCCATTTGTTTTGGCTCAAAATAATCGTCCTTCCTGGAATCTTCTTGCTTGGCTTGTCGTCGACACCGATTACAAATTTAGTCCCATTTTGTAAAGCATCTTGTTTGCTTCGTTCCCAAAGATCGATCTCGCCTGCTTCGAAGGATGTTTGGCCGTGTCTGCCGAGCACCTTGTTTACCATGGCGCCAAGAATGCAAGGACCAGCTGTGAAAAGCGTATCGAAACTGTGCAACATGCTCATTTCTGGATTGGGGCAAAACATGGCGTCCGTGTCCACACCCGTGAATCGATTTCGAATGTTATTGACCACGGTTTCGATGGTCTTTGCCAGAAAGGGATGGCCCGGAGCAGCTGCAATAAACCCATTCCACAAACACATTCGTCGATTCACAGGCGTCCCTGGTTCGTCGTGCGGAATCATAAAGCCAATGTCGGGTCCGATGGCTAGATCGAGATTCGTTTCTAGCATAATATCCATATCGGCGTAAACACCGCCGTGGATCAACAAAACGCAGTAGCGGAACAAATCAGCTTTGAAGGCCCCCGGTCGAAGGGTTTCGTATGCCTCCCGAACTTCGGGTGGAAAGTGCGTGCTTAGAAAGTTCAGACTCATTTCGTCTGTGTAAAACTTGTATTCCCAACCGGACTGCTTGAAGGATTCGATGAGACGACTCATGTTCGGGTATTTCTCCGATGTCACGGTCTCGTAGTAGGTTTGGTGCACAATCCGGGGAACCAACCGAGACGGCTCCTTGGCGTAAATGGGTGGGCTGATCACCAGAGACTTGGAAACGAATTTTTCTTCCACCGGTACGTGACAAAGAGCCTTGCAGTAGCACGGACAGGCATGGGCACAAGTCTTGCAGTTCGAGCCTTGTTTGTTGCGCAAGCAATCGCTGCACTTTTTGTCCGAGGGAAGGCAATCGCTCTGCAGCAGCGTTTCAAAAAAGTTCGGTGTGAGGAGTGCGTGCCCTTCTGGTCGCGCATGGACCCGTTCGGATATCGTCGATATGTACGGGAGATCTGCTTCGTCGAATTCGCCCTTGTCGGCGTTGAGAGGTTGCGGTAGGTCTGAGGTTGGTGGAAGGACTTGATAGGGTAGGAGCAAATGTTTGGTCATCATAGTTGGTATATGGGTAATTGAGTCGTAAATGCTACAACAAAAGCCATTGGGTTCGGGGCAATTTTGCGTCAGTCTTCGAGAGCAACGATTGTCGCCAGAAATTGTGGCACGATACATTCAAGAATAGAAAGGGGAAGGTTTTGACATACGAGAACGACCAAGAGAGAGGTGGCAAAAAGGTTAGATCGCGACCCGTCGGCAACGGAGGCAGTGCCCCATCACAGCACATAAAAAAAGAGAGTTCCTCCCCGGAAGCCGTGCTTTCGGTCCATCCAGCGCGGCCCGACCGACCACAGGAAAACGCAAACGAATAGCGCAAGCCCACGCCAAAACGAAACCAAAGCGGATGCGCTTCCACCCACCATACCATGCCATACCATGCCATACCATACCACACGGCACCACACGGCACGAAACGGCAATGCGATGCGCGCCATCCGACCGGGCCCGACTTACCGGTGGCTGTTCAGCGCGTAGGGAGAAATCGGTGCCGTGAGCGGCCTCTGTCCCAGCGCAAATAGGCTGCAGGTGTGCTGCAGCAAATACCAGTGGGTGCCCTTCCCCGCGGTCGTCTCCCGGCTCGCGGACAGTTCGCCGACCCCTTCGTCCTTTGCCACCAGGCCGTAGAGCGACTTGGGCAAAAAGAGCGGGGAGGATACCAGGACCGACACGTCGGTCGACAGCAGCAAGCGGATCATGCCCCCGACGACGGAGGTCGATTGGGCCTTGTTCTGTTTCTTCCGCGCCGAACCCTTCGAGTCGTCGGCAATGTACAAGAGTGCTCCGTGGATGCTCTCGGGGGATATTTTCGGGTCGTTCAGCACGGCGAGGTTTCCGTTGCCGCCGGCTTCCACCCTCGACAAGAGGTTTTCCACCGTGCTGGTCAGCAGCGAGTGGGAATCGACGTAGAGCCCGCCCTGGTAGTGGTCCAGTGCGCAGTACTTGAGGAGTTCCATGGCCAGGTGGGGCTGCCTCGAGGCCCTCAGCTGCCGAAACCGCTCGGAAACGGCGCCCGTGGTTTGTTCCCCTCCCGCAGCATCCACCACCGCAATCCCGTGACCGGTACCGCAGCTCTCCAGAAAGGACGGCGGGTGGTCCGTGTCCAGTCCCACGACCTGCGTCACCGAGGGCGAGTGCCGGAGGTCTTCCAGCAGTTTCTCGGTCACTGGAGAGGCGGGTGGTGCTTCGCCGTCCTTGTCTTTTGCGTAGTTGTAAATGGGATAGAAGACGGTGACTCCGAATCGGCTGTAGACAACGTTGTTGCTGTTGTTGCCGATGGTTTGGGTGTTCCGGTTGCTGTTGCTGGTATTCTCGTTGTTATTGTTGTTGTTGATGTCTCCGTTGGGGGCGGAAGCAACCACGGAAGACTTGCGGCTCACGGCGGCGGTGTCGCCGGTGTTCCCCCGTATGACTGCATTGAAGCCGAGAAGGCAACACACCGCCACGAAGAGAGCCCCCATCGCCACAGGATTCGAAATTCTCGAAGCCCTGGCATTTTTTCGATGCCGAATTTCCATCGTGCGTTTGCTCTATTTTATTCTCTTTTGCTGCGCTAAACTACGCTGCGCTGCCGTGCTGTTCAATGCTACGATGTGCCGCTCTTCTCAAACGTGACCGACAACCCAGCAATGATGAGGATTCGCGGACGTATTCGATCGAAGGAAATGTCGGGCAAATTCCTCTCTGTCTATCTTCCTCTCCTTCTGTCTTTTCTTTTGTTGTTTGTCTTCTGTGCGCTTGTTTGAAGTTGGTGCTTGCTAGCGATTGCGAGGGTGGCTTTCCGGGAACAACGGGTTGCCTTGTTTTGCAAGAGTTGTTCCGACCGTTGCTGGCTTGCGGTGTACAGTTATTTTTTTTTAGTCTCTGGCGTTTTTGAGATGGTAGCCGTTCGGTTCGTACGAGTTACTGGTACAGTTGCGTACGGACTCGTACAGAATTCGTGTTCTTTCGAGTACGAGTACGAGTACCAAGTACGTACTGTACGGTACAGCAGTTCAAAGTCGGATATTATTCCTGTCATTCGTCGTACGGTACGTACGTCCGCTAGTTCCCGCCCGAGAACGCGGTGTTTGGTTTCACCAAAAAATGATCCCTGTTTGCATTTTTCGACCCAGTCAAAAATTGTCGCGCACCTTCCGCGTAGGCACAGCAAAGTCCCGCGGGAAGCGGGAGCTCTGCAAGCTCCGCCGAGAAGTTCTTCGTTTGTACTTCTACGTATGGACATAAACTATTACTGTATGTTCAATACTGTATAAAAATAGGTGAAAAACGATGACATCTCAGGTTCATATCCAAACAAGATATGATACATACCGTACTTACCGTGCAGCAGGGGTCCCCTGCCGTGCAGTATGTTAACGTTTAGACTTTGTGCAGACTGCATGCATGCAGAGTGCAGAGAGCGTGAATTTTTGTTACGTGTTGGGTACGTACGAGGATCGTGCTCGTACAAACTGTACTTGCACTCGTACTCCCGCTCCAAAATTAGGCCACTGCATCCTCTGGATTTCCCATGCCATCACTCCCCTCTCTAAATGAACGTGAGGAGAGCCGATTGGAAACAATTATGACCGAGACCTTTCTCCGCCAAATCCGTGCCGTACGTACTCGTATTCATACCTGATACCGTACCCCCCAGCCCACTCCCCACCCACCGCTCTACTGCCACAGTGCATCCAATCCAATCCAACCACACCAGTCACAACCACACACCGCAATCATGTTGGCATGGGCGTCGGACCAGATCGAAAAGATAAGCCAGACGGTGGCGCCCCCTCCCACCGACGCCGCCGGTAGGTTCAGCTATGCCGTCTCCAGAAACGACGAAAACTCCGCCATGGGTTGCATCGCGGCAATCGATCCGATCCAGACGGTGGTCAACCAGAGCAAGGGATGGTTCCCCATCCACATGGCCTGCCAATACAGCATGGTCCGCCTGGTACGGCTGCTGATGAACCAGCCCGGCTTGAGCATCCAGCAGCCGGACTACTCGGGCTGCACACCCCTCCACCACGCCTGCATGTCCACGCAGCGATCCACGGCGCTCGAGGTCGTCAAGATGCTGATCACCGAGTACCAGGCCGATCCGTGCGCGAAGAACTCGCAGGGGCAAACCCCCTACGACCTCGCGACGCTGGATTCCATCCGCCAGTACCTCCTGCCGATCCAGCTGCAGCGAGAAACCCAGCACGCCCTCGACAACGGCGGCGTGGGGCTCGCCCCGGGCATCGACCTAGGCGGGCTGAAGATCAACCGCTCCAACATGGCCCCGCCGCCGCAGTTTGGGGGCGCGGGTTTGGCCGCGGCCCCGGTGGTGCAGTCCCAGACCCCCGGGCCTGCCTACGCGGCAACCCCCACGCCGTCGGCCCACCCCGCTCCGGCCCCGGCCAGCGTCCCGAGCCGCAGGAGCAGCACCAGGTCGACCTCTAGCGACGAAAACTCGCGGTATTCCCGCACCGGTGGCTCCAGCCTGGCCGTCTATTCCAAATACAAGGCCGACGGCTTCCACTCGAGCTCCTCCGACGTCAACCTGCAGCGCAAATACGGGCACGCGGGAGCGAACGAGTCGTCGTCCGTCGAACCGCCCCCGAATTCCGGAAACGCCCCCTCGAGCGGAAACCTGGGTCCGAATCCCTTTTCCGGGGCCATGAGCCTCTCCGGGACCTCGCGATATGCCTCCTACGGGCAGACAGCAGCGGCGGCACCCGCGCCGGCCTCGGGGCCGGCGTACGGGTACGTCCACCCCGGTGCCGGAACGACGGAAGCTCCCAAGTTCTTCATCCCGGGAGCGGCGGCGGCACCCACACCGGCGGCGTCCGAGGTCGCCTCGTCGTTCATGCCGCCGCCTCCCTACTCGGGGGTGAAGGTGGAGGCACCGGCGGCCAGCCCGACCGCCGGTGCATCGCCGGCTGTCGCTTCGCCTTTTGCCACACCGGGGCCCGCTGCGAACAACCTCTTCGATAGCCCACCGGGTGCCGCAGCTCCCACCCTGGAATCGGAAGAACCGAAAGGAGAACCGCAGCCACAACAACAATCCGCGATTCCGACGGAGGCCGAAAGCGGTGCGGATGCAGCCGAGAGCGACTGGGTGGAAACCACCGATCCCGCCTCCGGACAAACGTACTACTTTAACACCAAGACGAACGAAACGAGCTGGGACAATCCCAATGCGGCCACGACAGCGACGGAACAAGAAAGCACCGGCGACAGCGATTGGGCCGAGCTCGTGGATCCATCCTCCGGACAAACGTACTACTACAACGAGAAAACGGGCGAAACGTCCTGGGAGAAGCCGGCCACTAGTAATGGCGAGAACACTGGTGCTGCTACCGACGCTACTCGGGACATGGAACCTAGCCAATGGGTCGAGGCAACCGATCCTGGCTCTGGAAACACCTACTACTACAACTCCACTACGGGAGAAACAAGCTGGGAGAAACCCGCAGAATTGAATGCAGAACCAGAGTCTCCAGGCAAAGAAAATGCACAAGGAGACAATGCTGGTAGCGTTACTGATCCTGTAGAGGAACCCAAGGAAGAGGAACCTTCCCCTGCAGTGGATGCTCCAAGTGACCCAGTTAAGGAGGAAGCTGATGCAACAGCCGAAGGTGCAGAATCACCCTGGTCTGAGGCAACGGATCCCAATACTGGAAATACCTATTACTATAACTCGGTGACTGGGGAAACAAGCTGGGAGAAACCTGTAGAAATGAAGGCAGAACAGGAGTCGCAAAGCACAACCGTTGATGATACGACACCACCCGAAGAAACTGAAGGAGACGATGCTGGAACTGCCACTGATCCTGCTGAGGAACCCAAGGAAGAGGAATCTGCCCCTGAGGTGGATCCGCCAAGTGAACCAGTCAAGGAGGAAGCCAATACTCCTCATGAAGAAGAAACCAAAGCTACAAAGGAGGAAGTTGTTGCAAACGAAGCAGGTACAAGATCACCGTGGTCCGAGGCAGCTGATCCCAGCACTGGAAAGACCTATTACTATAACTCTGTAACTGGGGAAACAAGCTGGGAGAAACCCGCAGAATTGAATGCAGAACAGGAGTCTCCAAGCACTGAAGATACACCAGGAGACAATGCTGCAAGTGTCACTGATCCTGTTGAGGAACCCAAGGAAGAGGAAACTTCTCCCGAGGTGGACACTCCAAGTGACCCAGTCAAGGAGGAAGCTGATGCAACTCCAGAGAACAAAACCGAAGCTACAGAAGAGGAAGTTTCGGCAAAGGTAGAGGGTACAAAATCACCATGGTCCGAGGCAGCTGATCCCAGCACTGGAAAGACCTATTACTATAACTCGGTGACTGGGGAAACAAGCTGGGAGAAACCGGCTGAGTTTGAAGACGAGAAAGCACCTGTGATCCCTGATACCGCAACGGCTGAGGAGACAACGGCAAACAATGCAGGCGCAAACAATCCTGTGGAAGAAGCAACGGAAGAGAAGAAAACCGAGGAGGAAACTTCCCCTGAGGTGGACACTCCAAGTGACACAGTTAAGGAGGAAGCTGATGCAACTCCAGAGAACAAAACCGAAGCTACAGAAGAGGAAGTTTCTGCCAAGGAAGTAGCTACAGAATCACCATGGTCCGAGGCAGCTGATCCCAGCACTGGAAAGACCTATTACTATAACTCGGTGACTGGGGAAACAAGCTGGGAAAAGCCCGCTGAGTTGTCATTAGCCGCTGACACCACAACACCAGAGGAAGCTGAAGCAAATGAAACAGCAACTTCTTCTCATCCTGTGGACGAAGTGACGGAGGAGAAACCAAATGCTGAGGTCGAAAAATCTCAGGAGGAACCGAAATCGGATGGAGCAGGTGACCTAGCCCAAGGGTGGCAAGAAGTTCAAGATCCGAATACCGGCAAATGCTACTACTTCAATCAAGAAACGCAGGAAACCACCTGGGAAAAGCCAACCGTTTCGAGCACTGAAGTATCAGGAACAGACGATGCCCCATCGTCGTCGGACGAACAAAACGACTGGGTGGAAACGCTGGATCCTTCCAGTGGAAAGAGTTATTACTACAATACAAAGACATGTGAGACGACTTGGGAAAAAACAGAAGTTTTGAGTGGGCAAAAAGACTCGGCTTCCGCAACAACCGATGACGCTACTGGAGTAGCCAATGCTAGCCCCGTCGAGGACACATCAGCACCACCCGCTGTAGAGAACAGCGCAGATTCCGTAGAATCAAGTGGAGTTCAAGCGAACACAAGCCCCTTTGGGAAAGGTCACGTTCGCGATCAAAGCGCAGAAGACATTTTTGCTAGTCCACCAGTAAGCGATGGGCCACCGGCATCGTTTCCAGTTGCCGCACCGGGTCAAGAACCGACTGTTTCGGAAAGCGTGGCCACCACCGCCCAAGATCTATTTGGTGCGGGACCCGCTACCACCGAAGCTTCGGAACCCGCTAAAACCACCACCGAGGAAGAAAATCTTCCGAAACCGCCGTTGTCTTCGGAGTGTGCCGAAGACACGAGCGAGATGGAAGATGGAGAAATGACAGACATTCCTTTGTCTCCCGAACCGGTCATGCTGAACAAGGCCGCAAAAAAACTACCCGATATTCCGGACATTCCGAGCAAGACCGAGGCCCCCGCTGCCACTGAACCTGTTGCTGCTCCAACGAACGACTTGTTTGCGGCCATCGGAATGCCACCTCCACCCTTTCAAAGCAGAAGGTAACAATTAGGAAATAGCTAGAGATTCTTTTAGTCGACGATTTAGGACTACAAATGGTGAATTGGAAAATACTTTTTTTAGTTTACATTTGAAAAATGGTGTGTGCAGTCATCGAAGCAGAGGATACGGTTAGCTCCAACTATAGATTGCCCTCCTCGAGCCATCGTACGAGATCCTCTACCGTCGCCGCGGCTTCTGTGTACCCCAATCGTTCCTTCGAGGTTTCCACCCCCAGCAGGTCTTCGGCGCGCTCGGCCACGTCCAGGGGTGGTGCTAGCAGGGGGGCCGCGTGGCCTCCGCCCAGAACCTTTCGCTCGACGTCGATTTCGACCATKGGCCGCTTCATCCGGGTGATGCTCCGAGCTTCCTTCAACACTTCCTCGATCTCGCCGCTCTCGTCGATTGGGTCGTCTTCGTATCCCACAATGAGGGTCCGTCGGGGTCGATAGGCTTTGCCCGCAGCAGATCGAACCGAGGCCGGAGTGGGATCAAAGTCTCTTGCTCCGTCGGCAACCTATGAGTCGAATAAATATTCACAAGGCAGCGTTAGAATGATTGAAGATGCGACGAAACGTCGAGAAATTCGATCCAAAATATCTGTTCGAGGTTCTTGTTGTTTGCTGGCGTCCACAAGACACGGAAACGAAAAAAACTTACGACGCTTACCTCGTCGATGAGCCTGGGTATTTGTTCCAGCGAGACGATGGTTTCGTAGATCACCGGCAGCACACCAGCCTCGCTTAGCGCGGTGACGGTGGGCTCCGCCCATTTCTCGTACGTCTCCCTGGCCTTGGTGGGTATCTTGAAGGATTGGCCCTGGTTGCCGTCGTTCCCAAAGAACGGCGGAACGGGAAGTGGGAACGACGGAAACAGCGAGGTGGTCTGCGCCGCGGCGGCCAGGAAGCCACCCCCGAGGACCCTCTGGGCTTCTTCCAGCAACTCGTCGGAGGGCAGCCGGCCCTGCGAGGCGGCCTTGGCGAGCTTGAGTCCCAAAACGAGCGAATCGTTGGAACTCGGTCCGCGGCCGGTGGAAGCACCGCCGTCCGTCCCGCCGAGCTCGGGCCCGACCGCGAGCGACGAGAACAGGGGGGCAAAGAATTCCTCGAAGAAGGGAACGGCGTCCGAGACGGGCTTGTTGTTGAAGCTCAGCAGGGCGTTGGCGGCCCGGGGGGTGTCGGGGAAGAGGGAGGAGATGAGCACCTGCAGCAGCGCCCCACAGGAATGGCCGATCCCGACCACCGGGAGTGCTCCGTACTGTTTGGCCAGGGTCGGCGCGACCGCCTCGAACCTGGTCAGGACGTCGTCGCAGGTCGACAGGTGGTCAAAGGACAAATCGTACGGCGTGGCCACGATCAGGAACCCCTCGGCGGCCAGTTTTTCCAGCATGTACCGATAGGTGATGTGGGGCGCCTTTCCGACCAGGGCTCCGCCCAGAAAGTGGATGACGGCCCTCGGCTGGGAACCGGAGGCGTTGAATTCGTCGAGGTTCGAGGGGTCGAGTTTCGGCCGGAGGACCCAGTTCCCGTGCAGGTTTTCCCAGTCGCCGACGACACCGGCGTCGTCTTGGTTGCCCTTGCTGTTGTTATTGTCGCTATTGTTGTTGTTCTTTGGCGGCTGGGCCGCTGCCCGGGGCGGTTGAGAGCCGTCTTTTTCTGCGGGAGATCGCGACGAATTGTTTTTTGTCGTGTCGGTCTGTGCCGGAGTTTCTTCCGCAGACACGGGTTGCACCGCAGTCGCGACCCGCAAAAGGGAAGGAATCCGACAATTCTGCAGGGGCGAGTATTCGGTAGGCGTAGCTTTGTTTCGGGACCGAATCGTCCTCGATGCGGTCGGGCAGAATGCGGTCGCTCCCTCGATCTGCGATAACGACCCAACCATCGCCATCGTCCATACGGAAACGACGGAAGCGGACAGTATTATGAGCATCGTGGAAGATAGAGTTGACCTCGATTTTGTTCGGATCCGATTCGGTGCCGTGAAATTCATGGCCACCCTCATACTGTCTTGTATTGTCTTGTGTTTCGGGTTCGCTTCGCTTCGGCCGAGCGGGAAAAAATCAAACGGTCGGTTTTGTTTTCGCCTGGTTTTCTTCTCTTGGGAGGATGATTCGACTCCACCTCGCTTGCTCTTCTTGTTTCCGTTAGTGATCTCGGGTCTCTTTCAGAAAATTTAGTTGCTTCTTCTCTTCTCTTGTCACTGACCGTAGCGGTAAAGCTTTAGTATGTAGAGTATTTATCTATGACGGAGTTTGGTGCATCCCGAGACCAATTACGAGTAGTATCTCACGCGGTGCGGGCATTTTATTGGCAACTGACACTCAGCGGACACGGCTGGAATGACGACATTTCATTGATGAAGAAGAAAGAAAAAAAGATCAATAGAACCAAGAATTGTGAGCTGGAAAAGAAAGGAAAGGGGGAAATAAAAACAAAGTAGAGGATTTAAATCCCCCCAATAGGAAGGGGCGCAAAGTAAATTTAGAAATTGTGATGGCTCCGAAAACTCGATCCAGAGCATGATTTCGTACGGAACGTAGTTTCTCGCAACATTTCTAATTCGAAGCACGTCGTGTACCGGTACTTTGCACCGAAAGCCGTAGAGTCGAACGCCAAGCACCAAGGGAGGCCAATACGCTTGGCGCTTGCCACCTGAATTGCATTGAACGGAACAGAACAGAACAGAACAGAACAGAATCGGAACGGATCGGATAGGGTACCGGATAATGAACGACAACGACTCGCTCTGCGTGCGAGGGATCTGCAACGCCTCGAGGGTTTCTTGCCACATCGCCTGCGCCATTCAGATTCTTTGCCACGCCATTCCGACGGTTCGCTTCGCCCTGCGCCGAATTCTGGACGGAAATGATAGCGAAGAAGAAGCAGCAGCACCAATCCCGAGCCATCACTCTTCCTCGTCCGCGGAAAAAATACTGCTGGAGGAGCTCCTGGGCTTTGTCCGAGACGGTGGAGGGGATCCCAGCGGCATTGTTTGGAATCCGCAGAGGCTCTACGGGGTTCTCGAGAAAGCCGGCGGAGGCGAGGCCCCGAGGCTGGATCCCAACAACGTGGGGGACGCCACCCGGAGTCTGTCGGTCCTGCTCCGCCTGCTCTCGCACGAAGCAGCTCCCGGTGGGCGGGCCTGGAAGCGGCTCCTGGAGACGTCGGTCTGGGAGGGACAAACCCGGCAGGTGTTGGAGGGGAGGCGGCTCCTTCCCGACAATCCCGCTCCGGGCGGCGACGAGCCCGAGGCCGACAACGAGAGCGGCGGTGTCGATTGCAGCGGCAGCAATCGAGCAAAACTCGTGGAACGCCGGTATTTGCAACGCGTCAAACCAGCTCTCAAGAACAAACCCATGTCGTCTCCTCTGATCCTGAGGTTTCGTAATGCGGAAGATTCCGATGGCGTCGCGTCCACCGGCGGCGGTACCATTGGGGATCCAAACAACGCCGGATCGTGGGGTGTGATCCAGGCCCTGAACGAGGTCGTTCGGCCACAAACAATGAAGGGGTCGAGCTATCCGTGGGAAAGCCTATCGCCGGACACGTATTCGGAACGAGAAATTGTGTGTCGGGAACGCCAACACTTCGAGGAGCGCACCGAGGAAAGCGATAGCAGTAGTAGTAGTGGTGAAAGCGAGTGTGATGACGACAGCAGCAGTGAGGGTGAAAGTGAGAGTGAAAGCGAAAGCGAAAGTGACGACGACGACGACGACACTAATTGGACAACTTCCAAACGAATCGAGATCAGGTGCATCCCCCGAGTATGGTTGCTCCACCTGGATCGCCCTAGAGTATCAATTGATATGCTTCGAGCATTATTTAAACAGGACCACAACCTAGAGACAGGACGAGTAGAAAAGGAAGAATCGGATTTCACGCTGTTCCATCACGTTTGTATACCAGTAGAGTTGAATCCGTCGTCGATCGTGACCAAAAGAGAAGATGCTGCGATTGGTGGTGAAGACGATTCTGATGTGAAAAATAGTGTCAACAACTGCGAGGGTCACGATGAAATTGCTTCACCCGCAAACCTTTTCCTTCGAGGTGCAATCGTGCAGGTCCTAGAACTAGACGACGACGATAACGAGGAAGACTGGGAAGGCGGTCACTCCGTTACTCTGCTGCGGAGTGGCAATGACAACGATAATTCAGATCCCTGGCTTTTGGTAGACGATGATAAGTGCCAACCGATATCGGAAACCAGAGCTCTCGCGATGATGGGCGGTGTATTGGAAGCCAATCGCCACACAAACGAGAAGGACGATGACAACGACTCCGTGAGGACCGGTAGCGCTTACTATGCAGCGAGCCTTTTGGTATACTCCGTCCTCGAAGACCACCGGAACGAGGAATGGATGCAGCACATCGACGACCTTGTGTCGTCCTGGAACGATCACAAAAGGCAACTGGCAGCGACGATCCAAGCCGAAGAATCCCTCGTGGGCAAGAGACTCAGGATAAAATGGTCGAAAGGAAAGTTTTACGCGGGTACCGTCACGCGGTACGATCGACCAACGGGAAAACACCGGGTGACATACGACGATGGGGATGTAAAAGATTACGTTTTGGCCAAAAAGACCATCGAATGGATCGAATGAGATATAGAAAATGCTAGCACTATTAAAAATCAGGGCTCTACAATATGCGATTTGCCTTTACAGGAACTTTCACACTTTGCTAGTCCGGTAGGCTCGACGCTTCTGGATTTCATTTAGTGGTTTGCTTTGTCGCTTCATCTTCCTTCGACTCTATGACTCCGCATCGTTCGATCCTAACAACCCCAAGCGGCGTTCCGGATTGAGTACCGCATCTCTCTTCGATCAGTCGAACTGTATTCATTCCATCCAGAACTTTACCAAAAATGACATGTCGTGTGTCCAACCAGGGTGTCGCTTTTGTGGTGATGAAGACTTCAATTCCCATAGATCATTTCAAATGTAGGGATCGATAAAACCAAAGACAAACGATGCAGTACGGGAGTTCGGTTAGCAATGATCCAAAAAAAAACAAGGCACGAAGATCAACCCATTAGCGGAGATCGGGAACTTACATTGAGAGCCATTGGTATTTTTACCGGAATTGGCCATACTATTTTGGTGCAGTTCCCAGTGTAAACATTATGGACAGAAGTGCTGTTAGTACAATCTACAACTTGGAAAAACAAACTCGCGTGATTCTTTTTCGGCTCAACATCCCAAACTTTATGATAGTGCAAAAAATTACTTACGACAAAATTCCGGGTCCTGTGTGTCGAAAACGTGTAAGCCCGTTTCGTTCGTCAGCAAATTTGTCGCCGTAGATCGATAAACCTCCGGTACCATTGTGGTTCGTGAAATCTCCACCCTGGATCATGAAGCCAGGTATGATTCGATGGAAAGTGGAACCTTCGTAGGACAGCTTCCTTCCGCGAGGATGTGTAGTGTCTCCCTTTGCCAATGTTTCAAAGTTCAGTGTAGTCTTCGGCACCGCATTGCCATACAGACCAACAACGATCCGTCCCACCTCGTTGCCGTCGATGCTCATGTCGAAGAATACACGAGAGGTGATTTCTCGCAGAGCTTCATCCCCGATGTCGTCGTCCTCGTTTTCTTTCGCACGGTCGGATATAACCTGCGTGAAATTAAGACCAATGGCGTAGGCACCCACCACCGCAGCGACGGTACCAACTTGCCACACTAGATTGTTTGTCTTTTTTGGAGGAGTGTTCGATGAATTCGAAGATGCGAACCTTCGGCTCACGAAATCACGAGATTGGCTCGGGACAACGAGTCCTCGGCTTGCGCAGTTTCGTAGACTACTTATCAGAGTTCCTTTCAGAATCATATTCCAGGCAGTATTTCGAATTGTAATTAGTTTGTGCTTTAGATGACTGGTTTTAGGCAGTCAGTTTTCACAACTACTAGTGATACTTCTACTTCTGAAGCTTTCCTTCGTCGATCGACTTCAGTTTGAGAGATGAGTTGTTCCCGTACGGTAGTCGATATGATTTTTGATGATCGATTATCGATGATGTCGGGGAAAACAAAATCCATTCAAAAGGTTCAAAAATAATGGAAAGTAAACTCCCCCCCCATTTTGAAGAAGTAACAATATCGTAAACAGTTGTGGCATCTCAAATCCCAAACGTTATATTATTTATACCTATTATATGTCATATAAGTACATATGTACATAACCTGTTGCTCTACTTACGTCGGTACGTCGATATTATTGCCCCCACCTTCTTCACCAATTCAACTTCCCGCAAATGCAATTTGTTCGTCACGAAAATTCGATACCATTGATTTTTTAGTGTGCACAATCGTTCCACCAGCTGTCTCCAGAGAGTCTCGTGGACCAAAAAAAGCGTCAGACGGTTTTGTTTCACATCGAAATCTCAAAATGTGATGGTGAAAATCTGTCCTCATTAGAGACAAGCTTTGGTTCACCTTCAATTTAGGAATTAATTTTTCATTAGTCGCTTCGATACATTTGCGATCGGTGAAGGTGCACAGCAACTCTTCGGTGTACGCCGTCAAGCACACGACGCTTGAGTATAGGAAAAACACGAACAAGGCAAAGAACAACAATGACAGGCACGGATATTCTTACCCCGGAGTTTGACTCCCCTGCGCGCAAGTCGACAATAATTGTTGCCGGCTTCAACCTCACTGCGACAATTATGGGTGGGGGGATCCTCAGTATACCCTATGCATTTTCAAAAACAGGAATTTTACTGGGACCGTTCCTAATGTTAATTGCCGCGATCACGACAGAGCGTTCCATGTATCTACTGTGCCTGTGTTCGAGATTGACAGGAGCAAAAAGTTATGGAGAAGTTGGCGAAGCTGCATTTGGAAAAAAGATGGAATATTTTATTTCCTGTATTCTATGCATATTCTTGATGTTTGCAATTATCGGGTACATGGTCCTTGCGAAAGACATATGGACTTCAATTCTAATTGTTGTGGAAAAGCTAGAGACAGTGCCAAACGAGGAATTCGTGCTGGGATCAATAATAATCCTTATCGTTCCGTTCCTAGTTCAGAAGTCACTTCATGCTCTAAGATTTAATTGCTATGTTGGCTTCGTTTCGGTGTCGACTCTTTGTGTTGCTCTGGTTCGCAACGCTTGGGCAGCCGCGGTGTGGCCGGATGTCATATGGTGGTCAACCAACACAGAAGATATTTTGATTGCCTTCCCGATCATCAGTTTATCATTCCTGGGTATTTTCAACGTCCTTCCGATCCAAAATGCTCTTGTAAAGCCGTCGCGCTTGCGAATATTGCTGGTGGTTGACGGAGCAATATCCGCTGTCCTCGCGTTTGGGGTAGTATTCGGTTTGGCAGGTTATTTATTGGCAGGTCTGAACACTAGTGGAAATATACTAAAGAACTGTGATACAACTCACGATCTCAACTTGCTTCTGGGACAACTAGGTTGCGGAACCATGGTTGTCCTAGCTATACCAATGATGATGTTACCATGCCGGTCATGTCTCCTGGAAGTCTTAGATGTACTGGTAAATGGTCCACATATAACACCTGTCGAGATAGAAGAAAGCGAGAAGCTTCCTCTGATCACAGCAGATGCAACTTTCACTCGCAATAACTACAATTCGACTAACAAAGCGCAAGAAGAGCAAAAATCGGTCAGAGAAGATGAAAAGGTTGTGGATCAAAATAGGATTGGCAAGGTGAACATTACGGAGAGCATTTTCATTCATTACACATCAACATTTTTTATTTTCGCAACATGTTACATGGTTGCCATTCGAGTCCCTGGTGTTGCTGTGGTGTGGTCGATTCTTGGTTGTTCCCTCGGCTATCTTATCGCTTTTGTTCTTCCGTGTGCTTGCTACTTGAAGATACAAAAGCGATATCCATCGCACTCTTTGGAAAGTCATACATGGGTATGGTTTTCGTGGATTCTAGTAGTTGTATCGGTAGCTGCTATGGTCATTTGTACAGCGGAAACAATAAAAGGATTGTGACTAGAACCTTTTTGAACAGCAACCGATGGAAGAACCCATTCCTCACTGAAAAAGCAGTGATGATTCGTTGAGACAATCGCAACTGATGGTCGATTTATTGCGATTTCAATGCAACACATACAGTGGTTTTTTAATTTTATTCCTTCAGACCCATTCAGATAAATAATCATTTCTTATCTACCTGAGCTAGCGATCAATTCAGTATTCGTGCTGATTGGTAACCTTCTAAGCAAAGATACGGAATTACGAAAAAAGTACCGTAATCTAAAAAAAATATGATGAGGAAGGAAGTCAGAGTTGTTTGAAATGAAAAATTATTTTATTTTTTTAGGTTTTTACGCGCGGCCAAAAAGGGCAGTTATTGCCAATGCTCGTGCGGCAAGTCGTAGTTCAACTGGGTTTCCTCGGTGAATAAATCGTTCATTCAGTGTTTCTGCGCAATAGGAATCGTGCATCCCGCTGGTTATCTCGCATGAACGACGCGTAACGATTCCCAACCCGCAATTACACAGTGCACAATCATAGTTTCATTGAGAAACATCATTTTGCCTCGATAAAAAGCAACAGCAGCATACGCTCATAAACAACTTCAACCAACAAAACAATAAATACGAATTCATCGATAACAATCGTGATAATAATCGTGAAATAGACCACACAACACAGCACACATTATATTTCTGAACAGAAAATGACCAAATTTCTGAAAAATCTCGATCTCTCTGCTGTTAGTAAACATCACGTTCGCGACCCGGACATGAAGTTTCCGTGCAAATTATACCGCATGCTGATGGAGACAGAGCGCCAGGGACTCGCCCATATTGTCTCGTGGCACCAAGATGGGCGGAGCTTTCGGGTACATGATGAGCAGCTATTTGTAGACGAGGTATTGCCGAAGTACTTTAAAAAATCAAAGTACCGTTCGTTCCAACGACAGTGCAATTTATATGGGTTTCACAAGATCACCGCCGTCAAACCGTTCTGGGATTCTTGTTACTACCATCCAACCTTTGTGCGAGGAGACGATGGATGCTGTAAAGAAATTGCAAGGCCATTAAGAGCGAAGCAATATGGGAACACAAATGAAAAGAAACGGGGTCAAAACGAGTTCCCATATCAATCACCCGTACCATCGTTGCCGGCTTCTCAAACTTCCATTCCGAGTTATATCTATGCCCCCATCAACATCAGAAATGGGGATGTGCCTAGCTTCAAAGAGCTCAACCAGGTTCAGGTTGACGAAACACTACAACAGTCATCATTGACAGTAGATAGAATGGGGGAAAATTGGCTATTTGAATCCAACATCAGCGAGCTCAAGGGGAAAGACCACGCTGCGTTGGTGAAGCGAAACCGCCGTTCGAGTTACCAAGAGATGTGTATTTCTATCTTGGGTGACGATTGTCCTCTATGTAAAAATGAGGATGAGGAAAATCTTATTGAGAACATCGTGCTCAATGTTTGAAAGGAGAACACGGTGAAGATAGCTTCAGGAACACTATTGAATAGTTCAAAGGAAACAATTTCATAAAGCCATAGAATAGAGAAAATACAAATCACCGATTCTATCACACCATAGTATCATCAGTGCAGTTGCATGCACTAGTATTACGAAAGGCGACGAAATCGTCTGGGATGTGCTGCTGGCTGATGCTGGTGGAAGAAGAAGAAGAAGGAGCGATCAAAAAGAAGAACAACAAAAACATCAGCAGCAACAGCAACAGCAACAAGATACGTTAATGTTACTAGTACTACTGCTACTACTACTAGCAGTGATCTTCTTGTTTCTTGTATTAGTAGTACTAGTATTACAATATGTACTTACTAGTACTACTACTAGTAGTGGTAATGCTGGTAGTGGTACGGTATTTTGACTAATAGCTAGAACAGCAAAAAAGAATTTATTTTTGAAGGTATCCTTAGTACGTACCGTACATTTATGGTTTTACCGTACGGTACTGTAATGCATAATTAGTACTGAACGAAAATTATGAACAAAAAGTATGTACCTATTTGTGATCCCCAGTTTTGACGAAATATATTTTCGTGCCCCCAAAGTTTTAGAAGATCCTCGAAGCAAACCGAACAAACGATGTAAAAACGGAGACAGTAAAAATCAACGAAACCCATGCGAGACTCACAACACTCACTCCCTAACCCGATTGCTACACAACCGAACGCGAGTAGCAAGACTAATAAAAGTATCAAAGTCAAGGCATCATCCCATCCACTGCAAGTAACTTCAGTAAAATTGTCCTTAGCAGAGATCTGTATCACTATTTTTAAACTCAATACCAAAAAAATACCATGAGTCGCGATTCGTAAGTAGCCAAGAGGATGCTAAATGTTCCCTTTGTGGATACGTCGTTGCAAGCAAACGATGACGATAGCATTGTCTTCTGAATCAACAATACCACGAGTGGAATCTCTCGCGCCTCACCAACCTTTTTCAACAAAAACTATACAACGCACAGCAATTATGACCATCACATTTCTATTTTCTCTCCGCAGGGCCGTTTGTATCAAATGGAGTACTGCTTCAAAGCCGCAAACTCTGGATTGACGGGCGTGGCCGTTCGAGGAAAGGACAGTGTTTGTGTAGTAACCCAGAAAAAGGTTCCAGATCGACTGATGGAGCCATCCAGCGTCACTCACTTGTTCAAACTTACACAAAAAATTGGATGCTGTGTCACAGGACCCATGGCCGATTCAAAGTCGATGGTGCAGCGAGCCAGGTACGAGGCCGGTAAGTGGGCCTTCGACAATGGATATCAGATGCCCGTGGGTGTTCTGGCCCGGCGAATGGCCGATTTGGCGCAAGTGAATACCCAGGCGGCATCCTCTCGTCCGCTGGCTTGCATTGGGCTCTTCGTAGGAGTCGACGATGAAAAGGGTCCCCAGGTCTTCAAGGTGGACTGCGCTGGACATTATTTGCCCTTTTTTGCTGCGGCGTCTGGACCAAAAGAGCAGGAGGCAATGAACTTTTTGGAAAGGCGTGTAACAGAAATGAAAGAATATGAGATTGACCAAGTCATCCGAACGGCAATCACATGTCTCGGACACGTATTGGGGAGTGACTTTAAAGGATCAGAGATCGAAGTTGGAAGTATCAAGGGAAAGGATGGCAAATTCGAAGTTTTGACCGAGGATGAGATTGAAGAGCACTTGAATGCTATTGCAGACGATGCAGATGCATAAGAATAAACTGTTGTATATCAAATATACTTCTTAAAGCAAGACACTGAATTTTTCTAAGCTGATGTGTGGAATGCCAATTCGTAAGCAAATGATTTGAGGAAGGAACGAAATATTTCTCAAAATCCTCAATAATAGACATGAATACCAACCCCCTCGTTTTTTTTCAAGAGGCTTTTCAAATGTGAAAAATTGAAGAATTCTTCTAGCAGTATCCTGTGGTAAGCGTCTCTGCCGGGAAGAAGCCACTGGAAAACTGAAATTCGATGTTCTAGTATTCGTGTGTTTCTACTACATGAGGATAAGCCTTCCCGCAAGTTGCATTAGATAATTAGAGGAATAAACTCGTGTTTCTATATGAATACATGTTATCACAAATCGTGAAGTTATGTAGCTGGTCGATTGTGAGCGAGGTGAATCGTGTAAGGGTTTGTAAACCAATGAGATTTTCGTTGCTTCTTACTGGGGGAAAGATCGCGATCTCGCAGGTTTTGTTTGATGCAGCCAGATATAGGTGTCGAACTCCACTTGAAAGTCAGCATATTCAAGACCAATCGAAAGAGATACAGTGTAAGACCCGTTGTTTTCAACGAGTGTAGTAAATACCACATACCCGACTCAGACATTGATTGTTCGATGATCTTTGTTTCAACTTCAAACCGAACCAAAGCAATAGCTTCCTCAGGATTCATTCACTACGTAAAGCGAGCTTCCTGTACACTCGGAGGAAGTTCCAGATTTGCCATATTTTCCATCATCTGTTCCGTTCCATCGAGACCACTCAACGATACCGCATCGTACTCATTCCCACGACTAATTCTTGATTCCCTTCGATTTCTGTTGTTGCCTCCTCCCCTTAGAGCATCAAACACCAGATATACAACCGATAAGATGAAAACAAATAAAAATGTTCCGGCGCCACCGTATGCATTGCTTCGGGCCTGATCTAAGTCCTCGATCCCTCCGATGTAAAAAGGTTGGTATGTCAGCATCATGGAAATCAGGACCTGCGATGCATCATGTGTCGAAGCCAAACCGGTAATCAAAAATAAAAGTTAGACCAAAGAAGCATCATCAAATTCACCTATCCTAAGCTTTCATGCAGCAAGTGCGTCTAATCCTTTAGAACATTGTTGCGTCAGTCGTGGAGGAACAGTGTGATACGCACCATAAAAATCATGCCAACAATTGAATAGCGGGCGCAGAAATTCGATGCTTCTCTATAATCGGGCATTGTGACCTCTGAAATTATCTCGTTTTCACTTCTTCACGTCTATTCGATATGTTTGCGATGGAGGGATGATCTAAGCGTCGGCTTGATGTCGGCTATGTGCACGAGGGGTTACAGTATTGTTCCATTTCCTTCCCTTCGGATTGTTGCGTATTACTGTAGCCTACTGATAGCGCAAACGGTACGTACCATACTACGAAGCAAAAGTACGGGTAGTCCTTTTGGATGGAATGATGACCTCAACGGCTTGTTCGTGAGTCGTTACTCTGGCGGGAATTGTGACAGGGAGCCACTGCGATATTGGAGAATAGGGGAATAAAATTTACTAAAATAGTATTTGGGGGATTCTACGTCGTCCTCCTTTATGTGGAAATGGTTTTGATGAGAATTTACAATTTGATGTGACGGAAGAAAAAAAAGAAAAATTAGTACGACGGACAATCGCATGTACGGTACCTACGAATGTACGATAGCGGTAGTAGTCTCGCCTCGGGGTCTCGCTACATTCTCCCATCTCTCCCAGTTTCCGTCCACCGCACACTCGCTGTAACTTACAGGACATCATCATACCATACAGATGTGTAAAATCGTACCGGTACCGGTACGCCTACTCCAGTCAAGTACGTACTTTACGGTACGGTAAGGGGACCGCTAAGTTGTGAGATGAGAGAGAAACCAGAGAACGCTTCTTAACCTTCTTTCAAATTTGAATTTTCATTGGTTGTCGTAAACGGAACGCTTTTTCGCCTCTTGAATCTCGACATGAATCCACTGCCATAAGGACAACTTCTCTCACGCTCTGTTCAAATTTGTACTCGTGCTCGTACCCATCAATCATCAATCAATCAATCAAATCCAAGAATTATCTTCTTTCTTTTTGATCTCGAGAACTTGGTGTCGTTCTCATACTATTTGAAATCTTGAACTAGAAATCACTATGAAATTATCCATCACTGCTGCCCTTCTTTGTCTTCGAATTAACACTTCGGAGGCTTTCGCTCCAACTGCGTTCACAAGGTACGTTTATAATTTCTGTTCGTTGAAAGATAGATGCGTTGTGTTTTCTCGGTGGATGATGGAAAGATATCCTAGATGAGTGGCTTGGTGAGTTGCGGGTGGTACTGTATGACTTTTTCTTAACCATTCGGCATACTTTTCGTGCATTTTGTCTATAATTGAATTGAAAAACGGTAGCAGAAAAACGACATCTCTGAATGTTGCAACAGAAACGAACGAAGACGAGGCTTGGTCTCCTACTTCTTGGAAGACAAAGACTGTCGCACAACCTCCTAAGTACGAGGACGAAAAAGAATACGACGATGCTATTGAAAAACTTCAAGCATGCTCTCCGTTGGTCTTTGCTGGAGAAGTCCGGACTTTGCACGAGCAATTGGCCCGTGCCTGCAGTGGGCAGGGTTTTTTGCTGATGGGTGGGGATTGCGCGGAAGCCTTTAACGAATTTAATGTCGACCACGTTCGTGATTCTTTCCGCGTCTTACTTCAAATGGCGCTTGTTTTGACCTTTGGTTCTGCAATGCCTATCATCAAGGTGGGCCGCATGGCAGGGCAATTCGCTAAACCTCGTTCGGAGCCCGATGAGACGCGAGATGGGGTGACTCTTCCCTCATACCGTGGTGATATTATCAACAACGAAGAGTTCACGCCAGAAGCACGTAGGCATAAGCCCTTCAATATGATTCAGGCCTATCATCAGAGTGCACAAACCTTGAATATTCTACGAGCCTTTTCGACTGGTGGATATGCCGATATCTCACGTCTTCATGCTTGGAACTTGGACTTTGTCGAGCAAACCGACGAAGGTAGCAGGTATGTATAATTTCTGACTTGTGCGAACCGAACACAACAGAATCGATTGAGAAAATTGTGACTTGAACTTTCGTCCATCTAACTCAAAATTGACGGTACTTAATTTTTAAACACAAATAGATACCGAACTTTCGCGACCAAGGTCGATGAATCTCTGCGATTCATGAAAGCCATCGGCCTTGATACTGCAGCTCCATCTTTCACCAAAACCGACTTTTATACTGCGCATGAATGCTTGCTCCTCCCCTACGAACAAGCCTTGACTCGTATGGATTCAACAACTGGCCGCTGGTACGATTGTTCCGCTCACATGTTGTGGGTTGGTGAACGAACCCGACAACTTGACGGAGCTCACTTGGAATTTTGCCGTGGTGTAAACAACCCACTGGGCGTAAAAATATCTGACAAGTGCACGCCCGAAGAATTAATAAATATTATTGAAACCATGAACCCGAGCAATATTCCTGGTCGTTTGACAATCGTTGTGCGAATGGGTGCCGAAAAGCTACGCAAGAATCTCCCCGGTCTCATCCGCGCCGTTCAACGCGAAGGCAAATCGGTCTTGTGGATTTCTGATCCCGTGCACGGAAATACCCGCAAGACAGAAAATGGATATAAGACCCGTGACTTTGAGAAAATTCGAGACGAACTCCGTGCCTTCTTCGATGTCCACGACGAAATGGGATCTCATCCCGGAGGTGTCCATCTCGAAATGACGGGGGAGGACGTCACGGAATGCGTTGGAGGGCTGAGTGACGTTACGGAAGCAACCCTCAGTGAACGTTACAATACCTTCTGTGATCCTCGATTGAATGGAGCACAAGCCCTAGAATTGGCCTTCCTTATTGCAGAACGAATGAGATCGAGAAGTGGCCTCCCTCCCATTGAATAGCTAAAACATAGTTAAGGGCCCAACGTGTCGCGGTGTGGGGATGGCTTGTATCTTTCATCTTAAAATAAAAAATTCAGTTATGAATGCATTTTGATCTCCCGCCACGCGTAACATATTGTACTACAGTTGATGGTATCCCAGGGGTGATAATGTTGATACTGGTGTAAGTCTTGAAATTCAATTTCCATCATCAGCATAGAACATCGTAATATGCCACTCTTTGTGATTGAGCCAATGGGTAGAACAAGCATTACTGTATTCATTCTTGTGTGATGTCATGGTTAGAAGATGATTGTCTTGCGATATGGAACGCTTCGTCACCAAATATGGAAGAATAATGTAGGTTTTCCCGCGGTTCCCGCCCATCATACTTTAAGTTACGCAGGAGGATACGTACGTACGAATACCTGGTAGAAAATAATTAAAAGATGCCCACAAACAGGTTCTGAAAATCTTGAACCCATCAACCGTAAACTGTGTTTTGTTACCATTTCAAGTACGAGTAGCGATACCGGTAGGAGAACGGTATGAACTTTATTTGAACTCAGCTCATCGACACCACTATATTACTTCGTAATAGTTATGTTGATTATTGCGTTGCTTATTCATGTGGGAAACAGAATCAAGTAACTCAAGCTCGTCTACATCATTCCCAATCGAACCTCTACAAGAGTCTTTGTAGTTGTAGTAATTCTTTGCAATCTATAGAGAAAGGAAGATTGTGCTGACCTTGGCCGTTTTGTCACCAAAATAATTTGCAGGAGCGCTGCAAAACAACATAATAGATGCCCTTTTCTGATACATCTTCGAGCGTCTCGAGCGCTGACTATGACAGGAAAGACAGAGGGCGTGAAAGACGTCGCAAGAAGGACCGTAAATTGAACCGCAGGAGCGACAACAGCGATGACGAACGTAGGCATCGTCGTCGTACCAGCAGCAGAACTGAGAAGAAAATGAAGAAACGTCGAAAAAAGAGCAGCAAAGAGAAGAGAAAAAAAGACCGAAAACGACACCCGGATACCGATGAGAGTTCTTTATATAGCTCCAATAATAGTGATAGCGACTACTCCCGTCGGCGTCGCCACAGACGCAGCAAAAAGGAACGAAAACGGCGACGGAGAGAAGATGCGGAAGACAACCACAAAACAAAGAAATCAAGGATAGACACAAAAGAGAAAAGCCGGAAAGAGAGTTCATCCTCAACTACAAGTAGCGCACAAACAGTATCACTTGCTCTGCACAATCTCTTGATAGAAAAGCCAGATTTTGGATCCGAACTACCACTGATTCTGATTCGATTGGCTGGAGGGACTACCTTCGATTTAGGCCAGGTGACGGACCCGAGCATCGCCACCGGATTACGATCCGTATTTGAGGCGTTAGAAATCTATGGAGTGAAAAAGCAACAAAGTAGTGGCATGTGGATGTTTCAAAACCCGCCATGTGCCACTCGACGAGACGAACTCGTTCTTCTCAAGGTGATACGATCACTCCTGGATGAAATCGGTTTGACTATGGAGGAACTGGCAAAGTTTGAGAACAAGCAACGTGTTGAGAAAGAGGAACAAAAGCAAGCAGATGAGACTCTGAAGCCCGATGAGAGAAAGAAAATGAAAGAATTTACATTGAAAATATTGGAGAAGTTTCTCCTGAAGGATGCAACGCTAGGATCACAATTAGCCACCCTCTGTATGACAATTGTTGAAGGAGAGAGTGTTTCCGTTGACGGGATACCAGACGAGAATCTGAAAACAGCCCTCGAGTCCTTGTTCGAAAAATGCGGTTTAGAAAAATCGGAAATTGAAGAAGATGACGAGGATGACGATGACGATGATAGCGATGAATCTCCTTTGATGGGGTATGGACTTCCTGACTCAAGTGATACCGACAATGATATTGTTCAAATGAAATTGGCTATCATGATGTCGGCATGCCGAGAAGGGCCACCTAAACGAAAATCGATTGGTCCAACACGAAGGCCGATGACGGCAGAGGAGGAACAAGCATTAAAAAAGATGTACCCGGAAAACAATAGAAAGGAGGAGGAGGACAACGACGAAGGTCCGTTGCTTCCTGGTGAGGTACGAAAAGCTCGGGGACCAGCTATGTCACTAGAAATGATCAAAGCCCAGGCTGAGCATAGAGAGTTACAGCTCAAAGCTACAGCATCTGGAGTGCCAATGCCAACCAATGCTGGTGGACGGGAGGAATGGATGATCATTCCCGGTGAGCACGATTTTCTGAGTGGGATCAAATCTGGACAGGCCATCAAAAGCCGGGGATTTCAAAATAAAAAATCCAGAGATGCCGATAAAAAGTCTCAACCAATTCATCCTGCTGTGCAGGCTGAGATGGATTCAATCATGCAAGCTCACCAAGATGCAAGAGGGCCTAGCTTAATGGATCTACATCGCTCGAAGAAATCTCAAGAAAAAGAATTGGCATCTCGTGCGAACAATGGCAAAAAGGAATGGAAATGGAATCGTGACAAAGATTTGGACGCTGGTCGTCGGGTTGACAAAGACGCTCTAGGTATGATTTTGGGAGGGGCAGCGGGCGATCTCAAATCAAAATTCGCGGGTGGATTCAATCGGTAGAATTTATACCGTGAAAACCTATCAACATTCGGACTTTAAAATTCAATCCATTGTTACAACATTTGAATATCATAGAACTCGGCTGCATTTTTGCAGAACATACGGTCCAGGTCATGGTCCGAATAGCCCTTCAAAAAGTCATACATTAGTTCTAGAAATCGGGGTGCTTCGGGACCAACATCACTCAATCCATCGCTGTCACTCATTGCGGCATCCTTCCAAAAATTTGTTGACACCATGCATCTTTTGGGCCCAAAAATTTCCACTGTCTCTCTCACTAGATCTCTCATCAGTGCAATTCTTGCCTCCGTTCGTAACCATCCTGGTATGGCGTATCCAACCATGCTAATTTTGACATATGCATTCCTATTGTTGGCCATTGCTTTCATTCCCTCTCTCCATACGGCAAGCTCTTCCTGATTGGGAGTACTATTGTTGTTGCATTCCGTGTCCGCGCCGAGTAGCGTTCTTGGCTTCCCAAGGTGGTCAATCACGACCTTGATGTTGGGATACCTAGCACACAGTTTCGATGCAGCTACCAATTGACTTGGCGCACATTGAAGATCGAACGTGAAATTGAACTTTTCTAACAGAGCAAAGCCCCTTTCAAATGCCGGAACCATCCCCCCATCGTATCCACCGTCGCTGCCTCTAAGGTAGTCGATCCCGTCGTGCCGTGTGGTAGCAACATGCGTTGCGTTTTTTCCGCCATCGAATTTTCCTACGCAATCCAAAATCCACCGGATTCTGTGCAAAGAAAATGTCAGCAGCTAGAAGACACTTTTTAAAAATAGCTCTATTCTCCTGCAACTTACCCCTTCACACGACGAACTTCCGACAATTTTTTGAGCTCGTTCTCCACAGTAGCAGTATCTTGTGCAAGATTACATGAAGCAATGATCCCTTTGATACTTGTTGGGGAATCGTCAATCATCGCATTAACCCAATTAGCCTCGGCCAGTCCATCGTCAGGTAGGCATTCCATGTGAATGCTTCCACGGAATGTGACGCCTGCGTTTTCCAGAGGACTGATAACATCGCGACGGTAATCAACTGCCAAGTAAGAGAAATCAGGAACGAGTTTAGCGAGGAACTCGTGAAAAGTAGACCCATTGCTCCCAGTGTCCAAGAAGTGGTGATGGGCGTCAAGAAATTCTTTTGGGTAAGGCATAGTTAGGCTGAGATGTTAAAATCCTAGTTTGTAACCAAAAACGATCGGCCTGTGGAAAATTGTAAGAGGCAAACCCTGATGTCTACGAGTTCGTGCAAGTATGCCGATTCGAACGGCAAGATGTGGAAGCTATCCCGGTAGACAGGAAAGTACTTCGTACGAACTTTGCGAAGACGTCTTACGAGTACGTAATCGTACTCGTACTGGTGAAGCACGAAGGATATTTTTGATATCTTTTGGCGGCACCGTATGATGTCATGGACTCGCGACTACTGTAATGGAACAGCTCGAGCTGAGGTTTGTTTCTTAGACGTAGAGGTGGAACGGTAGGTAGTAAGCGTACCAGTATGAACGCAAATGTGTGGACAAAAT